GGTTCTTGAAAAAGAGCCGTTTCTGTCAAGAGCTCTCTCAGCCCCACCCACCTCACAGGGTGTCTGTTGTGGGGAGGGGAAGGGAAAGGAGTTTGTAAGCCGCTCTGACACTCTGAGTGAACGGCGGCATATAAATCCAATCTCCTCCTCATCCTCCTCTTCTTCTTCTTCCTCTTCCTCCTTTTCTTCTTTTTCTGTTCCTATGGCTATAGCAGAGACCATTCTACTGGTATCCCTAATCGTCTTGTCTCTCTCTCTCTCTCTCTCTCTCTCTCTCTGTTTCCCCAGCCTGTGACCCTGTGGACAGGGAAGCAGGTCTTCAGCATCATCCTCAAGCCGAGCGACAGTTGCCCGGTCAAGGCCAATCTCCGCACCATCTCTCTCTGTTTCCCCAGCCTGTGACCCTGTGGACAGGGAAGCAGGTCTTCAGCATCATCCTCAAGCCGAGCGACAGTTGCCCGGTCAAGGCCAATCTCCGCACCAAGGGCAAGCAGTACTGCGGCAAGGGCGAAGACCTGTGCAGCAGCGACTCCTGTGAGTGGAACGGGCTGCTCAGCCGGTCGCGGCGGCAGAGATTCGGAGCCAGCTCACGTGCTGGTGGATTTGCTGCGGAATTTGCTATTCGGGGGGTGGGGTGGGGGAACACGCTGTCAGTTTGCTGCCAACTCAGGGCGACCCTGTGGGCGTTTCTAAGCAAGGGGCATTCAGGCATGGGGTTCACCACTGCCTGCCTCTGCCTCCCACCGAGTTACTGACCCGGGCTGGCCCTGTTTAGCTTCCGAGATCTGACGAGATCAGGCCAGCCGGGGCTGTCCAGGGCAAGGCAGGAGCAATAATGTCAAATCGTTAGGAAGAAGGAGTGGTGGTGGAAAGCGCCATCAAGTCGCGGCTAACCTTTGGCAAACCTCTAGGGTTTTCAGGGCAAGAGAGGTTCAGAAGTGCTTTGCTATTTGCCTGCCTCTGCATAGCAACCCTGGACTTCTTTGGTGGTCTCCCATCCGTGTCGTCATCATAAGAACATGAGAGATGCCAATGTTGGATCAGGCCAAAGGCCCATCCAGTCCAACACTCTGTATCACACAGTGGCCAGAAATACCAGTGCCATCAGGAGGTCCACTAGTGGGGCCAGGACATTAGAAGCCCTCCCACTGTTGACCCCCCCCCCCAAGCACCAAGAAGACAGAGCATCCCTTGCCCCAGAGCCCCTATCTATACCTTGTGGCTAATAGCCACTGGCTTTTTACTGTTTTGCAGCAACAGACTAACACGGCTAACTCCTCTGGATCTAAGGCATTGTTTCTGTTATTTTGGAGGAGTTTTAATGCCCCAATTATTATTGTTTTAGATTTTGGGTTAGGCCAGCCGGGGCCATCCAGGGCAGGGCAGGAGCAGTAATGTCAAATCGCTAGGAAGAAGAAGTGGTGGTGGAAAGCACCATCAAGTCGCGGCTAGCTTTTGGCAAACTTCTAGGGTTTTCAGGTCAGTGGGGCCAGGGCACTGGAAGCCCTCCCTCAAGGCTGACCCAGCTTAGCTTCTGAGATCTGATGAGATCGGCCTAGCCTGGTCCATCCAGGCCACTTAAGTGGCCAGCAGTAAACTGTGTTGGCAGTTTGGTGTAGTGGTTTGGTTTAGAGCCAGTTTGGTGTAGTGGTTAAGTGCGCAGACTCTAATCTGGGAGAACCGGGGTTCGATTCCCCACTCCTCCACTTGCACCTGCTGGATGGCCTTGGGCAAGCCACAGTTTTGTCAGAGCTGTCCTTGAAAAAGAGCAGTTTCTGTCAGAGCGCTCTCAGCCCTGCCTACCTCACAGGGTATCTGTCGTGGGGAGGGGACGGAGTTTGTAAGCCGCTTTGGGTAGTGAAGGTAAAAAAGGTAAAGGTTCCCTTGCTTGAAAGCCAGTTGAATCCGACTCTAGGATTGCGGTGCTCATCTCCGTTTCAAAGCCGAAGAGCCAGCGCTGTCCGAAGACGTTTCCATGGTCATGTGGCCGGCGTGACTAAACACCAAGGCGCACGGAACGCTGTTCCCTTCCCACCGAAGTGGTACCTATTGATCTACTTGCAATTTCTTGCTTTCAAACTGCTAGGTTGGCAGGAGCTGGAACTAGAGACGGGAGCTCACTCCGTCATGCGGCACCCAGGTCTCAAACTGCTGAACTACTGACCTTCCACAGCCTACAGTTCAGCATCTTAACCACTTCAGCCACCGCAGTGAAGGGCCGGGGATAAATACAAATCTCTTCTTCTCTTCTGTGTTATCTCTTTGGACAGCTTTATAAAATTATTGTTAATAGTATATGGCACTATTGCCATTCAGTCACACAGCCGAGTCCGACTCTTCACGATCTTCACCACCCCCACCCCATATTTTGGATCAAATTTGTAAACATTTCTGAGTGGGCTACGTAACCTGTTCCAGGCTGCATAGTGGCATTTTCATAGACCTCCTGCCTTTTGTTTTCTACTATTCTTAAAGCATGCAATGTAATTGACAGAAAGTTTATTTTCTTGTAGAAAGGGGGGGGGGAGCTTTTTGCCCACTGTGTCCTTTGAATACTGTTGCATTCTGGCTGAGCTGAACCACTGAAGTCTGAGGGCAGGGGGTTCAAACAACGGAACGTCTCTTCTCTACAGAAAAAAGTATCTGCCCATGAAAAATAGCACGAGAGGTAGGGTAGTGTAGAACCCTCTCCCCTCACGCGTTAGTCTTCTGCATGCAGGGTTGGTTTTTTTTTTTAACATGGAAGACACTCCAACCCACCCAATCTCTAAAGTGATGCAGCCCAACTGCATGTCCTGCCACAGCAGTGAGAGCTGGATCTTATGTAGATAAAGCAAACGTAATAGGGAATCTTATGTAGATAAAGCAAACGTAATAGGGAAATGTAGTAGGAGCTGCGTTGGCTCAAGGGGTTAAGACGCTGAACTGCAGGCTGTGGAAGGTCGGTAGTTCAGCAGTTCGAGACCCGAGTGTGCCGCATGATGGAGTGAGCTCCCGTCTCTAGTCCCAGCTCCTGCCAACCTAGCAGTTCGAAAGCAAGAAATTGCAAGTAGATAAATAGGTACCACTTTGGTGGGAAGGGAACAGCGTTCCGTGCGCCTTGTTGTTTAGTCATGCCGGCCACATGACCACGGAAACGTCTTCGGACAGCGCTGGCTCTTCGGCTTGGAAACGGAGATGAGCACCGCAACCCTAGAGTCGGATTCGACTGACTTTCGAGCAAGGGAGACCTTTACGTTTTTTTAATAGGGATGAACCAGCTTTGTCGGCGGGTCGGGGTTACGCAGCCTTAAGTCTTGTTGACGTTTCTTCCAGACGTTACGATCCATAACAGCGAACTGATGTCTGGCAGCATGGACAAAGGCACTTTAGGATCCGGGTCCAAGAACAACATCTTCTACATTTTGCTGAGGGACTGGGGGCAAGTGGAAGCCGCTGATGCCATGTCCCGACTCGCCAGGCTGGCTCCTGTCTACCTGTGTGAGTACCCTGTGAGACACTTTGTGAAGGAGGGCCTTTCCAGGTCAGCCCCTTCTGCCTAGCCTTGTAGCCCCGGTCCTATCCCAAACAGTGAGTAAGGTAAGATCGTGCGGGTGGGGTGGGGGGTGGAAGGAGATTGCTAAAGGTGCTGATGGCAGCTCGACAGGGTCCCCGAAACATCCCAGCTTCCGTGATGAAAAATGGCTTGCTTCTGCGTGATGCATGATTGGATCCCAGCTGTGGTGGTGGGAAGTGCCGTCAAACCACAGCTGATTTATGGTGACCCCGTAGGGTTTCCGAGGCAAGAGAGCAACAGGGGTGGTTAGCTATCGCCAGTTTGGTGTAGTGGTTAGGAGTGCGGACTCCAGTCGGGGAGAGCTGGGTTTGATTCCCTGCTCCTCCACATGCAGCTGCTGGTGTGACCTTGGGTCAGTCACAAGCTCTCTCAGCGCTGTTCTCCCAAGGGCAGTCCTCAAGAGAGGTCTCTCAGCCCCACCTGTCTCACAGGGTGTCTGTTCCGGGGAAAGGAAGGGAAGGTGATTGTCAGCCGCTCTGAGACTCCTTCGGCTAGTGAAGGGCCATGGGGTATAAATCCAGTCTCTTCTTCTGCCTCTGTGTAGCGACCCTGGGCTTCCTTAGTAGTCTCTCATCCAAGTACTCATCAGAGCCAACCCTGCTTAGCTTCTGACATCTGATGAGATCAGGCTGGCCGATCCAGGTCAGGATGACGTTTCTGCCAGTCCCCAAGGAATCATTTTTATTTTACCAATGTACCGCCCTTAGGAGAACGTAAAATACCTAATACTGAACATAAAATGTAATGTTCAGTAGCAGGACCCCTTGCTGCAAATGGAATGAAAGCTCCGGGGCAAGGGGGGGTAATGCCCAGTGGCTGCAGCCCCCCCCCCCCCGGCAAGGGCGGGCTTTCCCCGCGAAGCATCCAGTTCCCTCCCTCCCCAAGGAGCTCCGGTGCCCCTTCCAACGGTGTGGCGTGGGGCACCCTGACCTCCACCCTCGACTCCCTCTGGGGCTGGGAGAGGAGAGGCGCGCGGCAGCCAGGCTTGCCACAGAGGTGCCGTGTGCGGGCTTGGCGCGCCGGAGTGCAGCTGGGTGTGCCTGGCCTGGGCCAGGGGAGGTGGCCGCCTGCCTTCTTGCCTTGCCTTTACCTGCTGCTGGCAGGCGGCGTGGCGAGCATCTGGCAGCCGGCAGCCCAGGGTGGAGGCTTCCCCCCCCATTCTCGCTGCCTGCCCAGGCCGCTCTGTCAGCCTCGCCCACCACTGCTGCTGCTTGTGCCGCCGCCTCTGAAGTCACTACCCTCGTCCTCCTCATTAACAGGCTGACAGACAATTGGGGTGAGGGGGCCCGGGGGGGAGGGGGGAGTTAAGGCTTGAGGAGCGGGGCTCATAAAGACCGCCAGGGGGCCAGGCCCCATGGGCCCCATGGTAGCTACGGGCCTGCTGATCATCACGTTCACCACATGGCTTTCACTGATGTGTCTGATCTTCCTTTGGAAATGTTCAGCCAACCGAGGTTTTTCTATCGGCATCGGCGACGTCACCCCAGGGCAGGGGCTGCTGAAGGCAAAACATGAACTCCTGGATGCCGGCTATAAGAAATGTGACGAATACATCGAAGCTCTGAACACCGGCAAGCTGCAGCAGCAGCCCGGCTGCACGGCAGAAGAGACGCTGGAGGTAAGTCGCCTCCTGCCACCGAAAGTGCTTTGAGTGACAAACAAGCACATGAACACCCGTGAAGCTGCCTTCTACTGAATCAGACCCTGGGTCCATCGAAGTCAGCATTGTCTACCCAGACTGGCAGCCACTCTCCGAGGTCTCAGGCCGAGGTCTTTCCCATCACCTTTTAACTGGGGGTGCCGGGGATTGAACCTGGGACCTCCTTTATGCCAAGCAGATGCTCCACCACTGAGCCACAGCTCACTCCCCTAAACTGTCAGCTTCACGTGAACACAGGGATCTACCTTATATGGGATCAGACCATTCGTCCGTCAGAGTCAGTATTGCTGACCAATGTTCCCTCTAAGCTATGGAGTCCTTTGAGCAAAGATTCTCCTTTATGAGCGACTGACATTAAAGTTGTGAGCAGATGATTTAGCTACTGCATAAGTTGCTTTGCTCCGGAGCCCCATCCCTTCCTGAGCTAAGACAAAAATGTGTGAGAACGTGTGAGCCGGAGGCTAAGAAACTGTGAGCCAGCTCACACTCAGCTTAGAGGGAACACTGTTGCCGACTCAGACTGGGAGAGGCTCTCCAGGGTCTCAGGCGGAGGTCTTTCCCATCACCTCCTGCCTGGTCCTTTTAACTGGAGATGCCCCTGGGGATTGAACCTGGGACCAAGCAGAGAGGCTCTTCCACTATGCTGCAGCCTCTCTCCTAAGGATCTCACAAGTCCAAGGTATTTACTGCTTTTAAACCTGTCGGGACCTCACGCCTGCAAAGGGTGAAATACCATCTCTTTAAGGTTCTGGTTCAGCAAGTTGGAATTTCTTTTCTGGTGGTGTGGATACCTCCCCAGGAAGGATCAGGAACAGCCCTGGATTGGTTTGTCCTTTAAGCTGACCCTGCAATGAGCAGAGGGTTGGACGAGATGGCCTGTATGGTCCCTTCCACCCCTGTGGGTCCGTGATTCCTTCCCTCTGTGGTGCTCTGCTGACTACCGGGACGAGAACGAATCACACAGCTGTGGGGGTATCCTTGCCTTAATGAAAGGAATTCCAGGGCTTTTTCTTTCGGCCTGTACTCTCGATGCATTCGCCTCTCTCCATAGCAGGGAGAGCGTATCGGGTGGCTGTTGATCTCTCTCCGGGGACCGTGTGTTAATCCATACAACACCTGCTAGACTGCCCAGTAGAAGCAAGAACTCGAAACGGGTGGAAGAAATAGGAGTTGACAAGGACAACTTTTTCTCCCTCAAATGCCAGACCTCAGGGGCATCCAGTGAAAGTGATGGGCAATAGATTCAGGACAGGCAAAAGAAAGTATTTTTTTTAAAAACCCAAACACCCTTTTTTTTTTAATTTAGAAACCAAAATGTTCATACATTACAATCATAGAGCATGTTACATAGCATAGGATGTACATTATAAATTATAGAATTAAGCTAGTATTACCCAAATATTTTGAAATATACACACACACACACACACACACACGGGTCATTTCCTGTGGGAGCACACAGGAGCAGAGCTCCGGCAGTAAGGAGCTCGGGGGCAGGCACATGCGCCTTCAGGTACAAGCTCTCCCTCCTCTGTGAGGGCAGATCTGCGCACCCCCCCCCCAATAGCGAGCAATCCAAAACAGTCCAATGGAGCCTGAGCGGTGGGTGTTGCCTTCTGTCACACTTCCAGTGATGTCAGGGGCTGTGGCATATGCAAATAATTTATGCTAATGAGTTATGCTAATGAGCTCCTGCACCTCTTTTTCTGCGAAATGACCGCTATATATATTATTTTAAAAAGAAAAACCTTTTTGTTGCTATCTATTTTAACTATTAATGTTATTTATTTTAACTATTAACTACAAGTGAAATATTACTAGCTAGCAACGAGTTACCTATACAACTTTGACCCTTAAATTTCTTTTCAGTAAAGGGAAGCCATTTGTCTAGCAAATCTTTTGATGGGCCTCGGGTTCAGCTTTTGCTATATTATCTATTATTTTGTGTAGAATAAAATAATCCCGTAATTTAAAGGAAATACTTCTTTTTAAAAAAAAATTATTTGACAATTTGTATTTAGTACAAGCAATAAATACACCAGCATGAAACAGATTACAAAGAAATAACATAACAACAAAGACAATCTTTATACAGAGAGTGATTAAAATGTGGAATTCGCTGCCAGGGGACGTGGTGATGGCCACAGGCATAGGCCGCTTTAAAAGGGGATTAGACAGATTCATGGAGGAGAGGTCTGTCAGTGGCTGCTAGCCATGGTGACTCAAGGGAACCTCCACCTTCAGATGCAGTTAGTCTCTGAATCCCAGAGCCAGGAGGCAACATCAAGAGAAGGCATCTGCCTCTGTGCCCTGTTCTTGGCCCTCCAGAGGAACAGGTTGGCCACTGTGTGAGGCAGGATGCTGGACTAGATAAACCACTGGTCTGATCTAGCAGGGCTCTTCTGATGGTCTTATCAGGGGAAGGCATTGGCCTCTGTGCCCTGTTCTTGGCTCTCCAGAGGAACTGGTTGGCCCCCGGCTGAGACAGGATGCTGGACTAGATGGACCACTGCTCTGATCTAGCAGGGCTCTTCTGATGGTCTTATCAGGGGAAGGCCTTGGCCGCTGTGCCCTGTTGTTGGCCCTCCAGAGGGACTGGTTGGCCCCAGGCTGAGACAGGATGCTGAACTAGATGGACCCTCACTGGCCTGATCCAGCAGGGCTCTTCTGATGGGGGAAGCAAGGCAGTGTGTGATGCAAGAGTCCCGGGAGGGCAGCGTCAGCAGACGGGGGCAGGCCCCTACTGCACAGGGTCTGTGAACAATGGGCTAGCTTAAGATGGCTAATCAAAAGACCAAGAGGGCAATGAGAGGTTTCTGTTCCTTCTAAGCTGAGTCAGCGTGAGCTAGCTCACAGTTTTTTAGCCTCTGGCTCACACATTTTTTTCTTAGCTCAGGAAGGGATGGTTCCAGAGCAAAGTAATGTATTCAGGAGCCAAACCGCTCGCTTACAGCTTTAATGCCAGTAGATCAGAAAGTGGAATTTTTGCTCACAGGACTCCCCAGCTTGGAGGGAGCGTTGGTATCTTGGGGCATGAGGGGCTGTTGTCAGACTGGGGTGGGTCCAGCGTGGCACCAAAGAGCTTCCAGGCCCGGACAAATCCCCGCAACAAGGTGCGTTACTGGAAGGTGACTTCTGTTTTAATTGGCAGAACTTGTGGATGGCTGGTTTGGCCCCCAAGGAATATTTGTGCCAGTTTCCTTCCAAGGAATAACATTTGCTTCACCGACTTGCTTTGAGGCGATTGCCGTGTCAGTGAAGGCTTGTCACCAGTGTTCCCTCTAAGC